GGACTGTTAGATTGTATTCTATCCAGTTGACTTCTTTGGCCACGAAAAGACTAAATTCACGAGTTAAATTTTTAAGTTCATCAACGTCGACTTGCTGAGTAGAAGAAACTGCTCTTAAAATGACGGACTACGTTTTCATGACCCAACTAATAAGATCTTTGAATTTCTTCGGAAGGCAATCAATTACCTTTTCCCTCAGCTCGTAGGAAAAGAATCTTCTTCCCTGTGAACCCGTTGTGCTAGTATCCGTATTGCCACTAGAAGAGTCGCACTGATCCAGGTTCAATCTCGTTGCATCTTCAATGTGCTTCAACACAGCTTGCTTTGTCCTTTTTCGTTTTTCTTGATTTTCCTCGGCCCTCACCGCCCAAACGAGAAGATTCGCTGCGATTCGGTAAAATATATTTAGAAACCAAGTAGTTCCATTGATATATTGGTGAGTCAATGTGATATAGTGGTGATCACTGCTAGAAAGTGGTTCGGTAGTTAATCCTCCTCGTATGTCATAATCGTAAATTTTTCATTAACAAAACGAATAAGATCCGGATTTTCCTTCTCTGCTATGAGAGCCATTGGTCTTACCCAGTAAGCACTATTAGATGTCTTGTTCTGTCAAAGAACTTCTCCCGTAGCACCATCAGAAAGAGAGAGAGGAACAAACATCTTGGGGAATATATTCCCCTCCTTCATTGGATTCTGATTTGATTGATAAATACTCTGCCCGCCCGCCCCATCATGCCCCGTTTTTTGTCGAAAAACTAAATCAGTAGGAAGAGTAGAGTTCATTTTACTGACTGTTCAATTAGCCTTTTCACTGTTTGACTGATACTGTCTTGTACTGTTCGAACTACTATGCCTCGCCCCCCTCTGCATTCTTCCACATCCGGGACCAGTTTTTGTGCGTGTTCACGAATTAAATTTCGATTTGGAATATGGATTGACTCGCTGAAAAACCCCTTAAAATCAGTTAGAGATTGTGAAAGCTGGTCGACATCTACACAACTCTTATCTGGAACAGTTCTTAATATAGTGCTTTATGTCCTGGCGAAAAGGTGAAGTTTCGACATATCTTAAAAAGTTCCATTATTGGAAATGCCGTAATGGCTATTATTTTTTTTATAACTCTTTAGCAAATGATCCAAACGGGCTGAAATTTTTAAGGGAAATAGAACTCGACGTCTTCTATCTATGGTAAAAATTTCAGAACTTTATATCTTATCGGCTGGAAGATATGACTAATAGACGACAAAAAAAGGAAATTCCGTAACATTTGGCCACGCCGTTATGTCACCGCCAAAATCATACACCTCTCCTTCATTTCGAGATAAACCGTCCGGAAATACAAATTAACGATACAGACCAAACTGCATCATTTAGGTCCGGTTTAAGTGCTAGAATGGAAGGAGACTCTTTGATCAATGAACAATATTCAATTCTGTCCCGTTTAATTATGTTCCAATTGTCCAAGTAAAGATGTGATGCTTCCCTTCACTATGTTTTTCTATAACAGATTTTTCTCGAGACTTGGGTGCTATTTCTAAACTAGTGAACCGTGAACTGTCCCACCCCTAAACTCTAAGAACAAATTTTAAGAAAGAATTAATTTTTTTCCTTTTGCTGTCCAAGGAAAGCTGTTTATTCAAGCAAGATATTGACACGAAGTTGCATACTGGAGTCTCAACTTAAGTGTTTGGCAAGAACGCCATAGAGACTGATCGTAGAATCTGGATTGGCCTATACGGAAACTGAAGTCAGAGAATTTTTTTGTTCAAAAGCACGTAGGATTGAATTACTGATGATTTGTATCAGTTTAATAATTGATTAAGCAATTAATAGGTGTTTTTTTCTCGATTATTTTGTCTTTCGTTTTAGCTAATGCAAAACAGTTCTGAGGTGAGGATGTTACTGCTCTACTTTAAGTTTTCCGTAGATATCGGTTAGAAATTTCTTCCGTTCAATAAAACCTCGATTCAATTTACATTCTTGGTTAATGTTGCCCTAGTTCGTGCGTGAAGTTGCTATAGATTTTCGTCTACGAAACTGGCTAGTCAATGAGGCCTGTCCGATCCGCTAAGACGTAACGTCTTTACGTCTCATATGCTCATACAATATCCATAGAACGTCTATTTGTCTTATTTTCTCGTTTTGTTTGTGTGGATCTATTAATTTTATCGGTTTATCGTTATTGAGAAATGGAATTTTCTTTTGTTATGTTATTTCAAAGCAGATGGCGCTATAACATCTACATAGCAGATTCTAACAATCTAATAATACAACAGTATGTAACAATCTAATAATACAACTAATTTAAAGTTTCCCTAGGGGAAATCAAAATTTTGATTTCCCCTAGGGGAATTTCAAATCGCCCTAGATTTTGATTTCCACTGCAACGTATATATTTGTGTGTGGTGTGTCGTTTTCGTGTTTATTATCTGCAACTGACATATGATTCTACACCAGAAAAATAGTTTCTCTGTGATTCACAATTTCACACTATAAAAAGTCGAGCTGTGATAAAAGACATTAAGACGTTATTTGGCGTAAAAATTATTTTTAACAGTTGATTACAATTATTAATAGAAATCTAATCTCATTAATCTAGTTTTCTTTTCTCCTCTTTTATCATCTGGTCTGTTCTATAGCGATGATAGTATTGATCTACGATAGGAGAAGCGAGAAAAGAAAAACGAAAATTTTATTGTAGATGAAATTGGAGGCCGTACATTTTGTCATAAGAAACAAATATGATAACAAAATAATATTAACCTGATATTCTGCCGAGAGAGAATTCGTACCAAACGCTGCAACAGGGGTACACGAGACGAGACTATTCTGCCCATCTCTCCATTGGTATCATCCATCTATGTTGCTTTCAACACTAATGTTAATTCAAGACTTTTTGTAAGTTAACTTTTGAAAGTAAATTTTTCGTCAAAAAATGTTTCAAACAATGTGATTGTTGTAATAAGATATTTCGTAGAGAAAATTAGAGATAGTTTTGTCAGACAGATTTTGTCTCAAAAGCTGTCCTGCTGTTGTCAGTATTGGAGAATATAGGATGTCATTGATTAACATTATCACCACTACAGAGCAGAACAGACAATGAAAGAAAAAAAAAGAAAATAGAAGAAGAAAAATATTATTGCGAGTAAATCTTTCTTTACTGCATATGGTGAATTCCGATACTGATTAATTATTTTATTTTTCTTCGACCACGTTACGGTTGTATTGTTAGTTTTTAATCATGAATAAATGCTACAAAAACTCGTGAATTGTTGACAGAATAAAAGATGTTAATGATCATGAAAGAAACTATTAATAAGATAAAGATGTTTGTGACATCGATAACTTTTATTTATCATATATCAATTAAGCAAAGATACATTCATCAGGAAAGAGATATCACTTTTCTATGCACTCCATATAAAATAATTTATTCTAAACGAAAGACATAATTTTATGTTTTCACTAGCAATATTCCTACTATATGAAACATCTGCTCAGTAATGAAGTGTAACTAGCCATATTATTCCTTGAGTATCGAATTCTTAGTTTTCCGTTTTTGCTATTATTAGTTGATTTTTACTATGATATTAAGAAATTGAATAATATGTTTTTTATGGCATAGAATATAAAAATGTATCTTCGAATAGATGATCTATAAAATTGATCTAGAAATTGTTATTTCTTTGAACTATAACGCTGTACAAAATAAGAATGCAAACTTTCAACTTCATACAGAAGTCATTATTAATTATAAGCAATTTCTTATGGCTATCTATTCTGTTTTTGAATCTATTTTTTTCTGTATTCTTCTTAATATAAGACATTTATTATTCATCAATGAGAGCTGGAAAGTAAATTATGAAGAATAGGGAAAAAAATAGATTCCAAAATAGAATAGATGGCGAAAAGAAATTGTTTATAATCGATAATGACTTCTGTATGAAGTCGAAAGGTTACTTTTTTATTGTGTATATTGTTAAAGTTCAAGGCAATAATGATTTTTTGGATGTTTTACATTTCATCTATTCGTATTTATTTCGCACTACTTTACCAATCAGAGATGTATCTCGTTTGATGTCGTTTTATAGTTGAATACCAATAAACGTGTAAATAGTGTCTCAAATGACTATTGGTGGACGTGTTCGAGCATTGATTTTGTCCATTAAAACATTAAATTTATTTCAAAGCCGATCAACCGACGAAGTCGAAATTCAATATGAACAAATAACAACACGTTTATATTTAATTTTATTATCATTATCCTTTATCGTATTGGTTATTTACACAGCGCTAACCAAACAAACGATCACAGAAAGTATTGAATCACCATCAATTTCCACCTATAGAGAACTTGAAGCTGATTATAGCGATAGTCTGAAATGTTCGTGTTTCCGCATGTCAATTCCATACGGAACATTTATTCATATGAAACCAACATTTCACCAGATATGCAAGAGTGATTTTGTTTCATCTGAATGGTTAGACTATTTGGCAAACATTAATCTTGGCACTGAATTCATCTGGCGATTTGATTTTCGTAAAACGGGACTTGCTCAGTTTCAAGCACTCGCCACATTGTGTCAATCGGCGCAAGAATCTATTTTCGCGTCAGTCTCTCTATTTCTTTCGACAAATTATGTTGGTTCAATGCTTGTGGGAACTGATTTACTCAACTCAGAAACAACAGCTCTCATTCGATTATTTCAACGTCGAATAATACGTGAATTTGATAGAGAATTAAGATTAATTCGTGACACCGCTCATTCTAGTAAACTGGCGATTTCAACACAAACAACATTGTCAACACTCATACGAGGTGAGCTTCAGATACGACAAGTCCCTAATGTATATCTAATTTAGGTATTTAGATCTTACAACTACACTGACAAGTTTCTTACAAAGCGAATGCTTTTAATCCTTCGTAGCTGTCCTCACTTTGTAACATCATAGCTCTCCAGGTGGATCCACCTTCAGAAAATATTTTAAAACTAGCGGTTCTTTCTTTCGTTTAAGCATTTGATGCATGGATAGAAGACATTAACTAGCCTCGGTCTGCACGTGGATATATCGACATATTTGTTGATAATTTGTGAACATGTACTGATATATCAAAACTTAGTGGTCCTTACATAGAAAATACAAAAGATCATGTTCTTACTTCGTTTTTTATTTTGGTATGGATAAAAACCTGTATTTTCCTGTCTTAAAATCATAAAACTGTCTTTACTACTGTCTACTATAAATAAGTCTACTGTTGCCATTGTTCTAGTGTATATTTTTTTGCTTGTTCACTATACGCTGTCTCAACTAATCACTTGTGACACGAGTGACAGGTCACTGTTGTGATGCTATTGGAATGAGAGAGACACACGTTCTGCCCACAACCATCATATATTTGCTGAACCTTCAGTCCAGGTTTTGCTGGGCAAAGATAGCATCGTTTCTTCGCTCGATTCACATTTGTATTAACGTTGTGGTCCTTCTTTGTACCCAGGTGGAGATCATAGCCGAGACATTGTAGAGCAAGTTTGACTTTCGGCATGAGGCGCCGCGTTAAATATACTACATATAGTGAATTGGCACTTTGTTTAATTTAGGATACTGAGAG